CGCTCACCTTCGAAGACCTGAATGGTGACAGTGTGCTGGTTATCTGAGGCTGTAGAGAAAATCTGAGACTTCTTTGTGGGAATCACAGTGTTGCGAGAAATCAACTTTGTCATTACACCACCTACGGTTTCAATACCCAATGTCAGTGGATTGACATCCAACAATACCAGGTCATTAGTATCATCTTCACCTGACAACACGCCAGCTTGTACAGCTGCACCATAAGCTACAGCCTCATCAGGGTTTATGCCTCGGGATGGCTCTTTGCCATTGAAGAATTCTTTCACCAACTGTTGAATCTTTGGGATACGGGTAGAGCCACCAACCAATACTATTTCATCAATTTCTTTCTTCTGAAGGTCAGAATCTTCCAACACCTTTTGAACTGGTTTCATTGTTGATCTGAAGAGATCCATGTTAAGTTCCTCAAACTTAGCACGAGTGAGTGTTTCTGAAAAGTCTTCTCCTTCAAAGAAGGATTCAATCTCAATTCTAACTTGGTGACTAGCAGATAGAGACCTCTTTGCTTTCTCAACTTCACGACGCAGCTTTTGGACAGCACGATTGTCTTTCCTGATATCTTTGCCCTTCTTTTTCTTGTAAAGCTTTATGAAGTGCTCCATGACACGCTGATCAAAGTCTTCTCCACCAAGATGAGTGTCTCCATTTGTAGCTACTACCTCAAACACACCAGAATCAATAGTGAGAAGTGATACATCAAAAGTACCACCACCAAGGTCAAATACCAGAATGTTCTTCTCTCCATCCTTTTTGTCAATACCATAGGCAATGGCAGCTGCAGTAGGTTCATTAATTATTCTCATAACTGTCATACCAGCTATGATACCTGCATCCTTAGTAGCTTGGCGCTGAGCATCATTGAAATAAGCAGGTACTGTAACTACAGCATGAGTTACAGTTTTACCAAGGTAAGCCTCTGCAACTTCTTTCATCTTACCCAGCACCATGGCAGAAATCTCTTCAGCTGCAAATATTTTATCACCTTGTGATGTAGATACCTGAATGTGTGGTTTGTCATTTTTCTTTATCACCTTGAAAGGGAAGAACTGGATATCATGTTGAACAGATTTATCTGACCATTCACGGCCAATTAGACGCTTTGCATCAAATATAGTATTTTCAGGATTTGTAGTAAGCTGATTCTTGGCAGAGTCTCCTATAAGCCTTTCACCATCAGCAGTGAAAGCAACATAAGAGGGTGTGATTCTGTTGCCCTGGTCATTTGCAATTATTTCTACTCTGCCATTCTTGAAGACACCAACACTGCAATAAAAAAAAAAAAATACATGGCAATCAAAGACTTCAGTGATTAAAGGAAGCATGGATTCAGAACCCATGATTTACAATGCATAAGCAACATTTCTAACCTTCCCACCATCAGATGGTGCTGGTGTCAGTGGTACCCTTACCCCTGAAACTGTCCAAACAGATCGATGTTCACATGCATAATGCTCCATTTTTTTTTTTTTTTTTTACATACTTTCAAATGTTTAAAAAAAAACAGCTCTACGTTTGGACAGTTTAACGGTTAAATATGCTTAAAGCAAATTTTGGGCTAGACACAAAAGGGTTTGCAGTGGGTGTAGTATATAAGTCTTACAATGTATAATAGGAACTTAATTTCAGAATAGAAATAGCCTGAATGACCCGACAGAACTAACCCCCCCCCCCAATAAAGGGTACGGTTTATACTAGATTAAGTATATACTTAGGCAATCATTTCTTGCAATTAACAGAACTAAGGAACCTTTGTGCAAAATATGGATTAAAATTGGAGTGCATATTATGTAGGCGATTAATGAACCAAGAATTTTGCTTTAGTAGCTGGACTACTAAAGTTGCCCTTTCAATGTTATTTTATTGACAAGTGACTAATGAAATTATGGATTTGTGGGCACTTCATAGGGTAGTCCTGATAAGTTCCTTGCAGTTAATTAGTATATACTAGCAAATTAGTTAAATTTGGAGAGCCTTTTTGAAGTACAATGACTTTTGTTTACATAACTGCAGTGATCATGGGTACAGGTTAAACCCAGGGACCAATGAATAAGTATTTTAGAAGGCCTATGGGCCCATGCTAGGCAAATACAACAGCAATTCTATACTTAATCAACCTTTGTTGATTTAGGTACACGAACAAATAAAATTACCATAAATTACTTTCAACAACTTCAGTTAGTCAAGCTTATAGAAACTTTCAAAGAGTTCCAAAGGAGAACAGATGGAAGTTTCGGCATCAAAAAACACCCCTTCCCTCTATTTCCCTCTCACTATCATTAAGGCACCTTTGAGAGCTGTAAGGGAACAGCTAGAATGGATTCTAGGGAAAAAATTATACCCTAGGTAGGGACGAGAGTTACTAGATTTATTCCAGTACTTTCATATAAAAAAAAAATTAAACCTTTTAAAAATCAAAATTTTCCCCCAGGATCAACCCCCCGGGCGGGATCATACCACATCGGGTTAAAAGTTGATGTGAAAGGAAAACTTTTTTGGGCCCTTTAAACAGTCAAAGTTTTTAAAAATTGGAATTAAGAACTTCCAATAAAAAGGGTTTTCCAGATTATGCCAATGACTGTCCCACATCTTTTTTTCTTGCTCTCCTTCGCGGGTGGGAAAGACAGTTTAGAGGACTAGAAGCGCCCAAAACCCCTTCATTGTTTTGGAAAAAAAAAATATAGTTAGAAAAACTTATTGGGGCTTAAAACCCAAAAAAATTTAAAGGGGGTTACAATCACAAAAAATCATAAATTTAAAACCCTTTACAGCGACTTTCCCAAATTTGGGGCTTTCCCAGGGGGCCTAAAATAATTAAGCGGAAAATAAAGATCTAATTCCTAGTTTTCCCTTTACTACCCAAAGAAAACAATCCCCCTCTAGAACAATCTGGGGGAAAAGTATTCTAGATTTAGGAAGGTTTTTTAACTGCTATTGAGGATTTTTTTTTAATTAAAACCCTTAGGGGGTTAAAAAAAATTAAATCTTGGGAAAGAGTGCATACAGCCCAGGGGAAAAGGATTTGGGTTTGACCCAAAGGGGAAAAGGATTCTTTTTTCCCCAGCTTTGGGGGAAAGATTTCCCGGAAAAAAGGCAACCCCCTCCTTGACTCCAAGGGATTTTTTTAAAAAGCCATTGGGGGAAAAAAGGTTATTTTTCCAGTCATTTAAAAACCATTTTAACATTAGGGAAAGAAAGGTCTAAAAAATGGGTTTTTACCAAGAAGGAAGGGAGGGAATATAATCATGGGGAAAGCTAAACTCGTAGGTTTATGGGCCCCTGTTTGGGGGGGGGAAGGGAAAGAGTCGGGTTTAATTTCCCTGGATAAAGGGGCCCTTTCCCCCTAGCATAAAGGGAACCCTTCCTCGAGGGGGGGGGGGGGGTCTTTAGAAAAAACCCAATTTAAATAAAGGGGAAAAGTATTTCAAAAATTTCTTTGCCCCGGGAGAAAACGCAAGAAATGGGTTTCCCCCCGCTAGATGAAATAACACTATTTAAATATGGAAGATTATGGAAATGTCGCCCCCCCCCAACCCCCCCTTCAGAAACAGCAAATAACTCGAAACGGGCCAAAAATAACATGTAACTAATTTTATTAAAAAAAGCCACCCCAAAACGCAACTTACTTTGGGAAAACCCCCAAAAACACTGTATTTAAGGTAGAATTATGACACTAAATAATATTCACAGTGAGAACCCTAGTGTAACTGTGGGGTGAGTGACACCCTTTTGGGTTCTGCCCAACCCCGCCGGGAGGCGTAGAAAAATCGTCTGCTAAGCCCCGGGGACCCCTCTCTTGGTCAGCTTAAAAACGGGGTACAAAATTCTTTGCTCTCTGATTATTTAGCGTCATTTATACTAGCCGATTTCCCCATTTGGGACACGTTTTCCCCTATTGGGGGAAAGGGGGGGCCCAATTTTTAACCCAAAAGTTATTTTTTGTTTTTTTTGGGTTTAAGGTTAATCATCACTGTTATTTACCAAAAAAAACACAAATGTTTATAATGAAAAATTTTCAATAAAGTAGTTGTAAAAACGGTTATTAGAGTAAGGAATTACAGCAAAATTTATGTTATAAAAAATTTAAAGTTTTTTCTGGGAAATACTATAAAAGGGAGGGAGGTTTGTGACGGGCACTACCACCCTCGAGAAGGGCCCCAGATCAAACCATCGGACGTTACTTTACATCCCCTCTTCACTTAGCAAATCGTTTTAATACAGGGACTTGTTGTTTTTTTCCCCTCGATACTAATTTTCAGTAGTACGTGGGACATACTGAGTACCATTTAACTCTATTCAGAGGTCGATGGACTCTGTAAATCCGATGTTTAAATTTTCCCCAAAAGGGGATTTTGTTGGGGAGGAGTCAGTGTTTTCAACGCGCGGGGGGCCCCTGGTTTACCACGCGGGGCCCCTACAATTTTCTCCCATTTTCCTTAATTAAAAAAAAAAATTTAAAAACCCAGTATTTTTTTTTAAATTTAAAATTTAAAAAAATTTCTGCTTATACGTTGCACCTTTCACTTTTTTAATTTTTAAATACAAGTTTCCCCACGTGGTCTTTTAAAGGTTTTATTTTTAAAAACATTTCCTCATTCGTGAATTTTAAAAAAATAGGACGGTTTCTTGATTTGTCTCTTGATTCAAGGCTTTTAAAGAGCTATTCATCCTCGAGGAATATTCCTTCCTGGTCTTGGGACCTCAATAACCCCTTGATTCACCCAAAGGGGGTTCCTCATGGGGGCCCTTTATTCAAGGTGGCCTTTTGATAACCCTGCATTTCTTATGCGGGGGGGGTTTGGTTTCAAGGTCAAGAACCTTCCTTTTATTCCCCTAAAGGCAGTTTCCTTCTCCGGGGGCTTTGATCAAGTTAAAGGGAAACCCTTTCCCTTGATTCACCCTAAAGGCATTTCCTTACCTGGGCTTTTGATTCAAGGTCAAGAACCTTCCTTTTTTCCCCCTAAAGGCATTTTCCCTTTCACCGGGCTTTTGTTTAAAGGGAAAGGAACCTTCCTTGATCCCCAAAGGGCAGTTCCTTCATCCTGGGCTCTTGATTCAAGGTCGAGGAACCTTCTTTGATTCACCCTAAAGGTAGTTTCCTTCATGCTTGGCTCTTGATTCAAGGTCAAGGAACCTTCCTTGACTCACCCTAAAGGCAGTTTCCTTCATGCTGGGCTCTTAATTCAAGGAATTAAGGCTACTTTCCCTTGGATTGAACCTGACTGCCTCTCAACACCAGACATGCCTCCTACAGGCTCACTGCCTCTGATATGAACGGTAAAATCACGACAGTGTGAAAGGACACGTGCAAATAATGCGATTAATTAACATGTAAATAACTAAATTTACTTTATTCTTATTGTATCTCCTTTTATTGTACCTGATTTTGACACAGTTGTTACTTAGCTGTTTTAACTTAAGAACATGAAGGAACACTGCAGCAAGCCTACTGGCCCATGCGAGGCAAGTCCAAGTCCATGCCCCAACCTATTCAGGTCAGGTCAAATTCATTAGAACATAAGAACGAAGGAACATTGCAGCAGGCCTACTGGCCCATGAGAGGCAGGTCCAAGTCTCCTACCGGCTTAAGCCAATGCACCCAACTTAGTCAGGTCAGGTCACCTTGACTTAAGGGAGGAACACGGCAACCGACCTGGTAGCACAAGCTATCAGGTCCAACTCGCACCCACCCACATCCACTCGTGTATTTATCCAACCTATTTTTAAAGCTACACAACTTTCTGGCCTCTATAACTGTACTTGGGAGTTTGTTCCACTCATCCACAACTCTATTACCAAACCAGTACTTTCCTATATCCTTCCTGAATCTGAATTTTTCCAACTTAAAACCATTGATATAAATTCTCTGGAAAATGTACAAAGGAGGATGACAAAGTTGATCCCATGTATCAGAAACCTTCCCTATGAGGATAGACTAAGGGCCCTGAAACTGCACTCTCTAGAAAGACGTAGAATTAGGGGGGATATGATTGAGGTGTATAAATGGAAGACAGGAATAAATAAAGGGGATGTAAATAATGTGCTGAAAATATCTAGCCTAGACAGGACTCGCAGCAATGGTTTTAAGTTGGAAAAATTCAGATTCAGGAAGGATATAGGAAAGTACTGGTTTGGTAATAGAGTTGTGGATGAGTGGAACAAACTCCCAAGTACCGTTATAGAGGCCAGAACGTTGTGTAGCTTTAAAAATAGGTTGGATAAATACATGAGTAGATGTGGGTGGGTGTGAGTTAGACCTGATAGCTTGTGCTACCAGGTCGGTTGCCGTGTTTCTCCCTTAAGTCAGTGTGACCTGACCTGACTAGGTTGGGTGCATTGGCTTAAGCCGGTAGGA